CAAGGCTTTCGAGAAGCACTGCTCGGAGAACCCGGCTGCAACCCCTCAAGTGTTCCCTCATCGGCCAGCAGCAAATTGAGGATGAAATTTCCAAAACGACGCCGTTCACGGAGGAAGAAAACGCACTGATCGACGCTTTGATCGGAATCCAAGGCCGCGGCCGCTCCGCCTCCTCGGCGCAACTCCAGGTAAACAAACATTATCTATGTTTTCCATCAAATTTCCAATTTTTTTTCAATCCTTTGATGCTTGAGTAGATTTGGATAGCGCAATAGGAACATCTTCAGAACTATATATTACACTCACATACACACACAAATGGTTTAAATTTTAACAGGAAGTTGAAAGGGCCGTCCAGAAATTAGAAGATTTAAAGGGTGTCCCTGATCCAGTAAGTCACTTGTTCACTATGCACAATGATTATGTTTATTGTTTGATTAATGTGATGAAGTGATAATTGAAATTTACAGACAGGATCGAGCTTCATCGAAGGACGTTGGCAGTTAATGTTCACCACAAGACCTGCAACAGCTTCCCCAATTCAGGTTATAATAGTTTAAATATAGACTATCTATTTTTCTCCTGCTTTTCGAACAAGAATAGACTGCTTTAGTTTTATTGATTCTTGTGTTAAGTTCCTCTGGGTGTGACTAACTCTGGGGCCTAATGCAGAGGACATTTGTTGGGGTTGACGCTTTCAGTGTGTTCCAGGAAGTGTATCTTCAAACTGATGATCCACGGGTCTCGAATATCGTAAAGTTTTCGGATACAATTGGTGAGCTGCAAGTTGAGGTACAAAATTTGTATTACGAATGGGTTTCATGTGGGATCTGTGACATTCAAGCACAAATGCTAGTTGTGGAAGACAATGCTGTTGAATATGCGAAGTTGCAGACCGTGATGTTTAATTCCCATATTTTTTAACAATGTTGGTTATTTGCATATCTACTGGCACAATTGTATGTGCTTTAGCACCTCATAAATCAAGAAGGCCATACCTTTATGTTTGTTTCAAATTTCAAACTGATATTTCATAAACAAACAAATAAATGTAAAGTTCGAAAGGGTTCTTTTAGTTATGTTATTTTGATTATATAGGCAGTGGCATCAATCGAAGACGGGAAAAGGATCCTCTTCCGGTTTGACAGGGCTGCCTTCTCGTTTAAATTCCTTCCATTCAAAGTTCCATATCCGGTGCCTTTTAGACTTCTTGGAGATGAGGCAAAGGGCTGGTTGGACACTACTTACTTGTCTCAATCTGGAAAAATACGTATATCACGTGGAAACAAGGTAAACTAGCTCATTAGCATCAAAAGAACTCTATGATTTTAAAAGTAAGCATTTTATGCTCTTTGGTGAATTAGCGATTTGTAACTCGTTTCACAGTCTCTTATGCCAAGGAAAGGACTATGAGTTCCAAATGCTATAGTGCAGGGATCGACATTTGTGCTGCAAAAGGAAACTGAACCAAGACAGAGATTGCTATCAGTCATTTCTAATGGTAGTGATGTGAGAAAGGTTCGTTGCTATTTGTCTCAGATCTTTTTTCTTATAATAAATATGAGGATTTAGTTTGACGATCACATGTCTGGAACATCATGAACAGGGTATTGATGAGTTTATCACGTTAAATCGAAATGCGGCTAAAGGTGAAATGGAACTTTTGGAAGGAGAGTGGCTAATGATATGGAGTTCACAGGTTCTCTTCTCATAAGCATGAGGGGGAAAAGAAAATTCATCAGAAAATTTCATATGTATCTAGGGCTTTCTGCATAAGACTGATTTGTCATTATTTTTCATTGCAGGAAGAAACAGAAAGTTGGTTAGAGAATGCTGCAAAAGGTTTAATGGGAAAGCAGGTATCATCAAGAAATCGTTCATGTTTCAAGTTTTGTTCCTTTTTGTTTTTCTTTTAGTGTCTGCATAAATGATTTCTGTCTAACTCTCAGAAGCTGATGAATATTACTGTAGATTATTCGGCCAAATGGCGGCATGAAGTTCCTGGTCGATATTTTGTTAGGTTTCAAATTCTCCATGACTGGAAAATATGTGTAAGTTGCTACGAGGTCCTATTGTGTATTATTTACCCAACTGAATATCATTATCATATATAACGGTTCATCACAAGATTTTGATGCCTAATAATTTTCATATTAAGGAAATCTGGGATCAACACGTATGATATCACGATGGACGATGCAGCCATAGTGGCTGGTCCGTATGGGCTTCCAGCTGAATTGGAGACCAAGTTCACACTTGAACTTCTGTAAGAAACTTTTGCTAATATTGAGCTTTATGCCTATAGAATTATCCATAAGGTGAAACTTTAGTTTACTCTCCCTCCCCTGTATATATGCTGCAGATATACGGATGAAAAGATAAGAATCAGTCGCGGGTATAACAAGATTATTTTCGTCCATGTCCGTGTCGATTGACCTTCAGAAAACGAGTGTGCAGCGGCCTATGTGTATTTTCTCATATGAATCTTGATTCTTGAATGTAATTAATTACGAGGGAAGAACTTGGTCACGAATGCATTGTTTTGAACGATCATGGATCCTTGCAACCAGTTTACAGCAGCCTGTAGGCTGTAATATTCAAAACATGAAAGAACCACTTTGAGGCTTAAGCTGCTTAATTTTTTGGAAGTGTAAGCCAATGGGAATAGTTATTGTTGCACAAGTGAGTGTAGATTATTATTAGATTAAAGTTTGGGTTATGTCAATGAGCTCTACCCCACTTTAGTCTTATCCATTTTACAAAGGAATCTTTTAGGAGCACCCCACATCTTGAGTTGAAACTTTGCTGGTGCTATGGGTGGTGACCTCATCTTATTCGAAGATAAACTTATCTAATCAAATCCTTTTTTTTTTTTTTTTTGGTCACTTGGGTTATTATATTTTGGAGTCAATTTAAACTAGTATAACACCGTGTATTACATGGGGTTATTAATAAATTATTCAGAAATTTTAAAATTAATGAGACAAATTATTTTAAATTTTATTTACTTTTTTACAAAAAAAATATATATTATATATATTTTAAAATGATACTTGTTACTTGTGGACTTACATGTGTCATATTATAATAATTTTTTTAAAGATAAATATAATTTATTTTTTTTATACATACAATATGGTTGTTAAATGGAAGTTCATCAATAGATGATTAATTTGATATATTATATATGTAAAACTGATAAAAAATACAAAAGTTATAAACTTTTAAAATACAATGGTTATAGTAAGAAATGATATTAAAATACAATTAATACATATAACATGACTGTAAATAATTAACATATTTATGGATAATCTGGACCTAATTATTTTTTAATTAGACGTAAATTAAAATCTATTCAATCCTAATAACGAAGCATACAATTTTGCTACATAAGATCTCGAAGCATGCGAGTCTGCCACTTAGAGGCTCATTACTGAAAGATTCCCTTCATGTTAAGGGATATTGCTCACGGTCTCGAAACTAAAAGTATACAAACTTGACTGCTGAGTCACTTACAAATGTTCATAATTGACATAATTATCCCAATAGCATAAATTGATTATGATTTCTTAAATTAAAGTAGTCAACTCAATAATCTACAACAGATCAAGTTGTAACAAAAGTACAGAACTAACTCTTCAAAACGATAATATACGGTAATAATAAATATATAATTGTAGACTATCTAATTTTCCGCTCATTTTATTTCATGTAATTATTAAAAATCAGCCTTATAATTTGTATTAATTATGTTTAATTATACTTTTAATTATTATATCATATTTTAATTATTATTACTAATAGTAACTAACTATAAAGTCACACTAAATAATTTATGAAAATTACACAATCATAAATAATTATATATCAAAATGTTTTTTGAAACTATTTATTTTGAAACTAATATTATATTTTAATTTTTATCTCATTAAATGATTTTTTTTAAATAGCTATTTGATATTAATAACATAGGATACCCTTTAAATTCACGTAAACTATAGTTGTAAATTTAATTACGATCCTCTAAATTTGTAAAAGTAAAACACGCATTATTCTTTATATCTTATGCAATCTATAATCTATATAGTAATTCATATGTAAATAAAATAGCTTATAATTATATTATTTTTTAATTACTGATACAAATTTATAAAATATTATATGCCCGTTATATTATATAACTTATGATATTAATTAAAATATCTACACACACTAAAAAGGAAAGAAAAAAGCAAGGAAAAAAAAAAGGTTAGTTGGCAACAATTTGCAATTATGAGGCTAAAAGAAGAGCTGGACACCTGCAAAGAACAAGAAACAAACATCCAACTAAATTCATGAAAGACTGGAAACTTTTGTGGCCAATAAAACCTGAACTTACAGAGAAGTCCTCAGTCCTCACACAACTCCTGCAACAAACTTATTTCACATTGAGATAGTTTCAATAGAACAGCAAGACCCATAAGCAATATGCTGTGCTAAATCGGCTGCAAATCAAAACCGAAGAAAGAAATAGTCTACCTGGTAGCTTATCGATTACCAAGTCACCACAAGCCTAAAAAGAACGGACCGAGCATCTTGCAGGCTTCTATAAACGGTGCTAACTAAAATTTAAGTGTCTACTCAGGGACAACAAAACAACAACACAAGAAATCAAAAGGATTAAGGATATAACAGGACTAGATTGCCAGAACAGCAAACAGGTACACCAACTGAAGCGTGATCTTTTCAGGAACTCGGATACAAGTAGAATGATTATTAAGAGAAGATGGTAAAAATTCACAGGTTCACTACAAACAATAGAAATATATGCTCAAGCCTCCACAGGATGAAGGGAAAGAAAAGGAAACATCGCCACCTATCCACAACTACCCAACCCAAACAGGAATTCATAATCTCCATTTACTAGATAGTAGATACCCGCCATGGTAAGAAAACAGACATGGATAGGGGATAGTAGAAGAAGCTCTGCAGCACAAATTATGCAACATATCAAGAACAAGCCAATAAAATTTGAAAGAAAACCAGATCCTTTCTCTTTGTTACACTTGAGAAGACACATCAAGTTCAGGATTTTTAACTAAAGCACACTACCAAGTACAAAACCTAAATGGGAATGCAACAGTGAAGATATACATGCACATTGACAACAGCGGGACGATTTCAAAAGTCATTGAACCAAATCTTCTCTTTGTGCTTCCATACAAACTCGTCATTCATCCATCCCTCAACCGAACATTGCTAGTATCTTCTGTGATTCCTAGTTTTCCGTACAAATATCTTTACCTGCCACCACAGGTTCACATGACTCTGTATCAACATTGTCGGTAACATTAACTTCCATATCCTCATACTTATTCTCTTCATGGTGATTATCCTCGTCTCCCTCTTTAACAACCTTATTGTTCCCTTCAACCTTGTCGGCATCAAGGGCCTCATTGTTGTAAATTTCTTCTTTTCCCTGCATCTTAGTCAGCTTACCATTCTCATCATCAGCCTCAGCAACCATATCATCTTTATTATCTGCTTCCTTCCCAAAATATAACTCATCACCTTTTTCATTATTTGCGTCAGCGAATTCATTCTCTTCGTTATTTTCTCCTTTACCTTGAGAACCACAAAGCTTTTTACTTCCCTCGCCATCTCCACCAACCACATCAAATTCTTTCTCCACTTCCTTTTCAAAACCGAACCCTTCAATTTTCTCTGCAGTTTCCACTTCCGTGTATGTCGCATCACAGTTTTTTCCCTTACAGACCCTCATATTATCTTCACTGAAGTCCTCATTATTGTCCCCAACAGATTGACCACCCTCCTCTCCACGGCTCCCGCTCTCATTTTCAGACTCATTCTCAACAACTTCCTCATTTATTATTTCTCCACCTCTGTTCCCTCTCCCTTCCAGAAACAGCATCCTCCTCCTCAAATCATCCAACTCCCTTTCCATCAAGAACAGCCTCTCCTTCAATATCAGGTTCTCCTCCTCCAGCTGGGCAATGTGGCTGTCCTGATCATCCACCCGGTTCTCCAGCACACTGTGGAAATCCATTCCGCCGGCTGTACCACTATTCGGGTTATAAATCATCTCAAACCGGCTAAGGTCATGGTCCAACCTCCTCTCAACCTCGACATGCTCCTCAACATCACTCTCACTCGATCCCCCTTCATCCTCATCATCATCCTCATGGGGCTCCATCTCGTGCCCGGGCGACCTCAACCGAATCAAACCCTTCATCGACCCGTACCCATCCACCCCCCACTCCTCTTTCGCCATGTCAACCAAAACCTCCCTGGATGGAGAAAATATGGGAGTCGGAAGGACAGCTGGCGTCATGGGGGAAGGTGAGACAAGCGATGCTATGCCGCCGCTCTTTTTTGCCCGGATTAAAAACGAGGTCGTGTTCCTCGGAGCATAGGGGGCATTTCTGCTGTTGTTAAAATTATTGTAATTGCCGCTGACCATGTTTGGGTTCGGGTTCATGTTCATGTTGTTGTTCTTACTGAACTTCTTCTTCGTGAAGAACTTGCGGGCCTTGATTCGATTCTGGTGCTGCAATTCATTCAGAGTGGGAGGTTGATAGCTGTTAAAGTTCATATTCCCTAAGCCACCGCCTGCACCTCCATTGTTGATTATGTTAACACCGCCGGCAAGGCCTGAGCTGGAACCAGACATTAGGGATTTCTGCAGGTCGTTGTTCCTCCTCTTGTCGTTGGGCTTACTTACCTTTTTCCCCTTCCAATTGCTCCTCGGACCCAATGATTTGTTGAAGGACGACAATGGAGGTTTCATGGCACCGGGATTAGGGTTGGGTTTCTGAAACTGCATCGTCGGCTGGGACCACATGCCGCCATAGCCTCGATTCATCGGAGGAACCATCTGCGGACAAAAATCAATCGAATTATTCGATTGGAAAAGAAACTGATGGAGATTCCGGGATTGATTCAGGTGAAATGCAATTACCTGCGGCGGAGGCTGTTGATTCATTTGATTCATACCCATCATGTTCGGATTCAAGTTCATCAAGTGCTGCTGCTGCTGCTGCTGATTCATCATCGGAGCTTGCTCGTTCATTTCAATCAACCCTCGATAACAGGATTTGGAAAACGAAATCAGATAAACACGGTAGGAACAAAAAAAAAAACAGAGAAATTTGAGAATTATCCTAGGGTTTGAAAGCCCAAAGAGACGTTATAGTTCAAATTCCCAAGAAAAAACAAAAACAAAACGATCCAGCGCCTCGTGGGAGTCCAACAACAGAAGATTTGAAATTCGCAGATCCAAATCACAGAGCAACGTTCATGTGCGTGTTGATAACAGTTGGTTCGCAAATTCTCTCTCTAAAATCTCGAGTTTCGCATTTCTGATCCTCTGCACCAACTGCGTGTTTTCGGGCCGTTTGGTATTTGGGGACGAAGGGCCGACCGGGGTTAGGTTTATATATAGGCGAGGTGGGTCGGTACGGACGGCTGAGATCTGATCTTTGGAATAGACGGATGAGATCGAAAGCGCGTGTTGCACAAGTGGGGAGGGATCAGGTTTCGTATCCGCGGGGTAATAAATTGGCCTTCATATTTCGAATATTTACGTCGACCACCATTTGGTGCCGGACGACGTCGTAACTCGTAAGCTGGTGGTTGTGGGGCACGTGCTTGTTTGACAATTGACATGTCGCATAGGGGTATGAATGAGTAAAAGATATTTATTATTATTATAAATTAAAAATGCTCGTTAAATAATATTTATATATTAAAAATATTCATTAAATAATATTTATATATTGAATATATGAAATCAATATGTAACATTATTTACCTATATTAATTTATTAAAAATATTATATTAAATTTTGATTACGTAAAAAAAATCAAATATAAATAATCGATTTATTCGTTTAGTTAAACGAGTTATACAAAACAATCAAAATAATTTATTATCAATATTATAAAATGTATTTATCATTTAATAGTAATACTTAATATTTAAATTATTTTTTGATTGATAATATATAATATTAAATTTTGAAATCAATAATGTGCGTTCGCGTATACTGTAATGTGCAGTTTGTATAATATTATTATGCAGTCTGTTGGTTGATTATTTTTTTATGTGTATTTCAATCTTACAAATGTTAATAATGTGCTTTCAATGGACTTTATTTTGCATTTTTTATTTGTACAATGAAAATAAATTTAGTCATTTTAATTTTTTATTTAATATTTTATATTATTGTTTGTTAAAAGCAAATAAGAGAATGACAACAAAATTTGTTTGTTATACTAATGCACATTCTTGAAAGTAATAATGTGCATTTGGGCTAACAAATACAGTGCAATCTGACAATCACTAATGTGCCTAATGTTTAATTTGATTTTGCTTTTAGTCCGGGGTATTTTTTATATGCAAATTCAATCTAATACCGAAATGAAATAAACGAGTTAGTCGAATAATTAGTCGAATTAACCTTAATAATTAAAGTATTTAATTTTTTATTATGTATTTAATATTTTTTTTGGTTAAAATAATATAATATGTATGCATAAAAGATGTTTGACAATAATATTGTGTTTTAAAGTATTTAATTTTTTTATTATGTATTTAATATTATTTTTTGCTTAAATTAATATAATATGTATGCATAAAAGATGTTTGACAATAATATTGTGTTTTCTTTATATAGATTTTACAAAATTTTAGATCTGGCCCAAAAGTTAAATTAAAAATAATCAAAATTATAAAATTACAAATAAGTCTTTTATAATTATCTAATTTCCAATATCAATCCTTAAACTTAAATCTCAATTTTTGTCCCCGTCAACCTCCAAGTACCTCACTGACCGACAGCCACCAGCCTAGCTACACCACCACCACCACCCAAATCTAGTCATTATCAATTTTATTTACGAATTTATGTCCGTCTAGTGCAATTCCCGTCAATCTCGCCCCCAATTTTTACAGCAAAGGAACCCGGATATACGCACAGACAAGGGCAGAGCTAGCATTTTATATCTACTCGGGCTAAAATTATTTTTGCAAAAAAAAAATAAAAAAAAAAAATTGCACATTTATATACAATAAATGAAAAAAAAAAATGTACCTTTTTTATTGCATTCCAACAAACCTTTTGTTCACTTTATTTCTCATCTACAACTTCTTTATCCTCCATAAAATTAAGAAAAGTTAAACCAAAAAATTATTAATTTTATTGTTTTGGTTTATGATGAAGTTAAATATTTTTTAAGTATCAAATCCAATTCTTGGAGATTTAGAAGGCCGCTCGGAATCCTCATTAAAATTACTCGATTACTTTCAACATTATTTGTCGCCATTGATAAAGCCCAGACGATGAAAAATTATCATTTTTGGCTTAAAAAACGAGTAAATATTTGGTTTTTTTTTTTCTTGATTTAACATTGGAATAACTTATCAAAAGAGATATTAACACCAAACCACAAAATCATCATGTTATATTGTAAAATATTTTTTTAAGAAAAAATAACTTGTTGTGAAAAAACCTACAACCCCACAAATTAAAAACTGAAGTTATTTATTAAACATGATTAATTCACTAAACATGATAATGTACTAAAAATTATAAAAAACTAAAGTAAAAAATATGAGGAAACCAAGAAACTTCAAGTATTTTTTTGTGTCCAATTACTCTGTTGAAAAGAAAGATGAACATAATTGGATGATTAATTCTTAAACGATGAATGTAATTATACGATGTTAAATTAATTTTAAAAATCTTACCACTCTTGCACTCCAGAATGAAGTTGTGAGGACAGGGGCGCACGGTTTTGCAGAAAATTGTTGGAATAGTAAATGGAGTCTGGGTCCGTTTTTGTTAGGTTAATAATCTAATTACAATATTTTTATGGGAAATTTTCATTCATCCCACACGATTGGGAAGATATTGCAATATTACCATTCATAAAAATTTAATTGTGTACATAGCTAATAGATAATAATTAATTACGCTCATGCCTAAAAATCAGTTCTAGATAGGCCACCTCCATTCCATATTTATAGCGCTAGATTTGTGGGTAGTTAGAAAAAGAAAAAAAGAAATTGTCGTTGATCTTTTCTTTTCTGTTTTCATTAATACACACACAACCAAAAAAAAAAAGAGACGAACACAGGGGGGGCGTCGATCACTTTTTTTTCAGCAATAACAATTCACGAACATATACTACAAAAAAAGAAACAAAAAACAAAGGGGGGTCAATCAGATTTTTCAGCAATAACACTTCACGCAACATATACCCTCAAGAAAAAAAAAAGAAACAGTCGAATATATATTTCACATATATTGTATATATACCATAACACGATACAAACGATAGAGGTGCGATCGATCTTTCAAGGTATATATTTAACATATGCTGTACATATAATGATCATATATTGTACATATACCACAACACGATCGATCTTTCAAGGTATATATTCAACATATACTGATCATATACTGATCATATACTGTACATATACCACAACGCGCCACAAACGATAGAGGCGCGATCGATTTTTTTTTTTTTTTTTTTT